CTCCGCAAAAAATTCGCTTCTTTGTTCCGTTGCGGCTTCTCGGACTTCTCATTCCTTCTTTGTCTCTCTGGACGCTTCTTCTCTTTCATGGCCTTGTTCTCATCGCTCTGAACAAGGTTCATCATTCCATCCTGCATGAAAATGCGAAGGGTCTCCTTGTCTGTGCTTGCTTTGGTGAGCACATCGGCGATGTTCTGCATACCATCAACCCATTTCACCCAAGAGCTCGGCTGACGAACTGTTTCTCGAAGTGAGGCCCCCTCGGTCGCCATTCTCTCGTCTGTCGAAGTTGATGTTGCGTCTTTCTGCAGATAGTCATGAACCGAACGTGCGTCTGTAACGTAAGCTCGCTTACGCTGATGTATGATGCTCGGCCAGTCTTTCAAATTCGGTTCGCCACTCACTTCCAGCAAATAACTGCACCAATCGCCTGCTTCCACTGCTTCCGCCAGATGTGATGCTTCCGCTGCCAATGTTGACCGACAGACCCGCTTTGTCTGGCCGCCCTGAAACGCCAGAATAGTTGCTCGTGCCGGCTTCCCTTTCAAAGTCTCAATGTTTGCTATCATCAAAAAATAACCACCCACGCTTCTGTACCGCACCTGCTCACTTCGTTCCGGCGTGCCATTGGCGTGACCACTGTCTGCAAGGTGAACCAAAACTCCGTCTCAAGTTCACGTCTGCCCAATACCGCATCCTGGAATCTGCGCCTCTCCTCGCCTGTGCCAAATACTGTCGCAGACGAATCAGATCTCCAACGCAAGCATCGGCTTTTGATCTATGAACCACACCATTCTCGTACGCCAGATCACAACGCGATTGCCTCGCTAGCCAACCCAATTCTCCAGCTCCAGACTCGTAGATCTTGAACTCTTCCTCGGTCAGCAAGCTCTCCACTTACGTCTTCCTCGCTTTGCTGATGTGAATCTTCTTGGTGCTCAGGGAATGGTTTCTCATGGCAACGTCAATGTGACGGCTCGGTGTTGCTTTATCTCCCTGCCTCGGAACACAAACTCCCGAAAGTGGTTTGTGGCAAACTCCAAAGCTCGGCTGGAAGCCCTGAAAGCTGCATCAACATGGTCTGGACGAACTCTCCTCAACTTCTTCTCCTCTTTCTTCCAAGCGAAAAACTCGGAAGATGTCCTCGCTCTCTTCGCATCTCTTTCGGACTCATACTGCCTTCTTGCCATGGAGGCAGAACCGGAAGATATCTTCGGCTCCTGCTGCTTCAGCCTGTCTCACTTCTGTTTTGTATGCTTCTGCCTTTTTTTCCCTCACGTTTTTCCTCAGCTTCTGCCTCTTCATCCTCCTCAGAAAAACCTTCAGCCGGCCTACGAAGATCAATGAAGCCTGTTTTATAGCTGCTGGCTGTGAGTCTAACAAGTGTGGTCCACCGCTGAGGCTGCTGCCAGGTGCTTGGGAGATACCGTCAGAAGCAATCCTCGGTGACTCAACCATACTGTGTGGGATCCTTCATGACCGATCATTTGGGCAACCCGTCTCCAGCAAGCAGGTCCGGGCGGTCAATTCTCTAATGAGGCATCGAAGGAAAGGTCCACGACTTGGCCTGACTCTCCTCAACTCTGCCCGCTTCAAGGCTTCTGAATTGCTGACTTTGACAAAAGGCTTCGCTGCAAACCTCAGCTTGCTCTTCAGAAAGAAACGGCTGCTCGGGGTTGTGGACAAAGCTAAGGCTCCAAGACGTGCAGCTTCACTGTCATCAGTGAGGTCGGCCGGTGGTCTGATCGACCTGCCTAGAACCCACTGATTTGCCAAAGTCGCGTCCAGCATCTGCTCACGTCCGGCCAACTGCTCCGACCAGATCATCTTCTTGAGGATTGCTTGGAACCATGTCTTTCCACCTGTCCCAATTGCCAGGGGGAAGGCTTTGCTGCTTCGAAGACACATCCGAACTCCGCAATGCTTGGCCCGATCTGTGAAAACTCCGAACTCCGGCAGTCCAGCCCATGATGTCCATCCAACCTCGAAGGCTTCAAGCACGGCTCTGGACGCCTGGTTGTAGCTGGTCTCCGCCAAGAGTATGCCGCATTGAAATGGTGCCTTGACAGAGAACATTCAACCAACTCCAACCATGACCGTCGGCATCCTTGCGCTGGAAAACATCTATCCCAATGTGCACGTTGAACTCCTCGGTCAAGGGCAACTTGCTCGGCCTTGGCTGCTTTGGCTGCTGCACTCTGGGGCAATCTGGGCAGCGAATAATCTGGTCGCACAACTGGCCACCTCCGACGCTCGGCTCACTCTCATTGCTTTCAACATCTGTGGAACTGTGGCGTGTCCCAAGTTGACATGTGCTTGCCGGATTGCAAGCCTCAACCTCTGTCTCTCTTTCTGCAAGGACGTCGGATTGTTCCGGATCGTCTCAAACTTCTTTACCAACTGGCTTGCCATACAGAATGACACAGATCATTCGTCCTTCTGCCACCAAAGGTCTAGCCTGCTTCCTCGCAGCTGGTGCTAAGCATCTTCTGGTTCTTCCTCCAGCATCATCTCCTCATCTTCATCTTCAACAGCTGGATCGCTCAGTTCCTGGCTCACGGAGATGCTATAGTCGAGCCTCACGGATTCTAGAACTCCTTGACACACGGCGCGGCTTTTTGCTACCAAGCCGGTTGCTGCCCAGGACAGTTTGATGATCCCCAAGGACATTCACAACGCTTCCCAAGCTTGTTCAGCAGCACCTTGTTGTTGGAAAGCCATCCTGTGGTCTTCCTGATGGGTTTGCCCGTCTCCGCGTCTACCTTACCATATCTGCACTGATCTCCCGTGACGAAATTTCCTTTAGCTCCTCACGACTTCTTGCAATATGTCATGGAACGACCAGGCAGCGCTTGTAAGTGGATTTCTAGCAGGTAGTAGCGGTGGTGTCGTTGACGGTGTGCGCAAATTTGCTTGACCAATTTCAGAACCTTCCTCCCGACGGTGCTCCTCAATCTTTCCAACTCTTGTGGGTCTCGCACATGAACATTCAAGTTCTGTAGCATGCTCCGCATCCGGCAGTCAAAGGCCACCGCCATCAGGTAGGGGTCGTGCTCTTCCAAGGTCTTCCGCAGCAAACGCTCTCTGTGAGAAAGGAGATCATGGCCGTCGATGAGGTCGAATTCGTCCAACCAAAGAACTCACTTCCTGCAGCCTCCTCCGCAAAGGTATAGTTGCGTCTCAAGGCTATCCATGTCCGACGATGGCTCTGAACCTCTCTGCACTTCTTCTCGAGCTCTTCTTATCCTCTCTCCTCACTCCTCTAAAGCTTAATGCCAAAGTCCCCGACTTTCTAGCCGTCTCTCTCATCTTCACCTCTCTGGTACTCGTGAATCTCCATCGCCAATCCCAAAAGCTGCTTCGGTCCCCAAGCTCGTTCACCATATAGGCTGCTCCTTCCAAGTCGCTCTGACCAAGAGTGAAGAACATGGGCTGTTCCGAGACGAAGTAGACCTTTGATCCCTAGTCGTCCACCTTTACCTTTTCCGCCCTTCTGTCCTTTTCCGCCTTTGTTTGGACTGCCTTTTTGAGCCTTCTGACACTGTGGATCTCCTGCCCAGTGACCAATGCGTCCCAAGCTGAGGAACGACTTTATTTCCTGCTCACGTGCCACTGCTGCTTTCCTCCCCTCAAAGGTCAACTCGCCCTTGAAGAAACCTCTGCTCTTCTGAACTTCCCGAAGTCGCCGTTGAGAGTCTTGATAAGAACCTCTCTGCTTGCTCATGGCCGCATAGGCTTTGTAGACCTCGTCATCTCCTGACGCTGCAAGGTCTGATTTCTCGTCTTCATCAACTTCCTCAGCCTCGTAGGCACCGTAGTGGTCGTCGTCATAGTCGTGCGCGTTCTCTTCACCAACACCTTCTTCTTCCCTCATTGACCATCTCCGCGCCCTCGGCTATCTTCTGCTTTCCATATCCTTTGGGTCTTTCATAGCTTCCCTTCTGGTGCTTCTCTCGCTCGTGGATGTCGAAGAAGCTGACGCGCGTGGCCTTCTCAATTCCGTCGAGGTCGTAGCTGGAGTTGTTGTTCAACAGGATCTGCCTTCGCTCTTCCCGGACAAATAGCACTGCTTGAGGATGAAATAGGCCAAAACATCTTCGCTCATCCGGGTCTGATCATCTAGATCTTGAAGTCAGCCCGTTCTTGCCTATGTCCTCAAGTAAACGTCCAGGGGTTGCCCTTTCTTCCGGAATCCTCGCTTGAAGAAGCGATCAAACTGCTCGGTATTCTTCGCGACCGCCTGAAGAGATTTGAACACGAGCTTATAGCCATCCACTTCTTGAAGCTTGGGCCAGCGACTGGCAACACCTCCAGGCTTCGCCATGCAGAGCATCCAAAAGTCGCTTAGCAAACCTTTTCTTCTTCTTAACCAGATCTCTCTGCTCTTTCTCCTCAGCGTCGCCATCGCCCTCGAGCATGTTGAAGGCAAACAAAGCTCTCTTGCGATACCCTCTCATGAGCTCCGGCCGGCACCTGTGTAGTGCGGGATGCCGTCTCGATCCACCACCAAGTCACTATCTCTTCGTCCTTCCAGAACACATGTCCATTCTCAGAGGGCATGGCTCCAGGCGCTCTGCTACCAGTGCGAAGCACGCACTGGCAGCGTCGCGGCTGTTTTGGCCGCGCTCGCACAAAGCTCAAAGGTGCCAAACGGGTGTTGGCATGAAATGCCATGTGGCTGTGGCTCTGTCATGTGGCCGTCACGGTTCCGTGTGCCATGCTCATGCAGACCGATCGCACTCATGGGCCAGCATGGCCGTGGTTGCTTGGGCCAGCTGGTTGTGCCAGGTCAGTCGAATTCCATGCTCATCCATGCTGCATCCTCACAAATCTCACACAGCCTTGTTATCCTGCGCATGCCGCGCAGTAGTTGAGCATAGGCTCAAGGCCTTGAAGTGGAAAACGGCGATGTAGTCACGTAGTGACAAAAAGTCGATACATGTAGCTCAATACTCATGTGTTTCCCTCTCTCTCTCTCTCTTGTTTGCAGAAAGAGACACCCACGATGCAGGTGGATGGTCGCGTAGCGACGTTCTTGCACTTGGGATGCGGACCTTTCCTTACTTTTGCCCCCTACGCATGCAAGCGGCAAGAAAAGGAGAAATAAATAGAACTAACACGAATCAAATGAGAGGCGAAAGATTGGTCGAGCCTTGCCAAGATTCGCGTAGAGATGCGCTAAGGCCTCCACGCCAGCCCACACAGCCGTGGATCCTTCCTGCTGGAAGTTCACAAACCAATCTGTGCCTGTCCACGGCAGCTCCTCGCCATGGACTGTGGGTCGGTCACCGGTCGCTGTTGCACAAGAACGTGCTATGCTACATCTTCTGATGCCTCAGCTGCTTTGGCAAGATACTGGCTTAGAGCTGGCTAGTACAACTGTAGAGCGGTTCCTCTGTCTAGAAAACATCGTCAACGCCTAATCCATCACCTTTCGGGGACAACTGCACAGACATGTTCACAGTTTATTTGCTCAGGCGTCCATCAGCCATCAAGCTGAATGCCAGAACTCGGGCGGATTCGATACCAGGGCTGTCAGGGCTGTTCTCGCAAAGCTACAAATCACGATTGTATATCACAGTCACTCGTGCGATCCTTGCAGAGGTTTCAGCAGTCCATGACAAGCTGCAAAAATACCGGATTTTCTTGGACAGTCTCTCGATCCAAACAGAAGAAGAGCGCAGCGCCAGTCGAAAAATTATTTGAGCTCTGGTCCCAAAGATCGTGACAATGCATAACATTCATCCGATCTCACGTCTTTGGACAGGAGTGCCAGACCGCGCAACGAAACCAAGGAGAATCGGCTCTGGCCAAACTGCTCGTGTTGGGCATGCGCCAGCGGAGCTATGCGGAGCTATGCGGAGCTATGCGGAGCTATGCGGAGCTATGCGGAGCTATGCGGAGCGGGTGCTTTGGTTCTGCGGGGTGCTTTGCTGAAGCTTTCTGCCCACAGTTTTCTCACTGAATCCGGACCTGATATGTCCGATCTCAAGCGCAACGCTTGGATCTTTTGCTGGACAAGGTTGAGCTGACGAGTTTAAGGTGCAGCCTTCGCTCGTGGCTTTCCCTGGTCTGTTGCTGAAGACCTTGAGGTTGTGTGGGTCCAGCGCTCGAACTGATGGAGACCCATTCAGAGATGAAGCTTCAGACTCTGCTGGCCGAGGCACTGGCGGCCTCTGCACCGATGGAATCCGACGGAATCCGACGGAATCCGTTGGAATCCGATGGAACTGTGTTCCGAGTTCGTACGGGCAGCGTCGGAGATCTGAACTCAATTGGAACCCGATTGAGCTGATCCGGTTGAGCAGCGGGCATGTGCCAGGGCTGTCTGGAGAAGTCGAGTTGGTGTCCCGCCCAGCGCCTAGCTAAAGCATTCTTCCAAGCACCTCGCGCATGTGACGGATTGCCGAGTGCTTGGAACCCTCCGACCACAGTCAGTGCAATGCCAGTGGATCTTGCTTCAATGGTGTTTCTTCTGCCACAGATCCTGATGATGGACACCCAATATCTGACGGTTGACAGCTGACGCTGGCAGCAAGTTCAGGGCCGTGTGCAGAGCTGGTTCGGGATTTCGAAGTGCACTTAATTTGGCACAACACAATCTTGAGCCAGATGCACTGTGTGGCGGAGTTGCAACAGATTCCAGAAGGTGATTTGCCAAGGACGCATGCAGCGCAACATCTTTTGATGTCATTTCTTGTGGTATGACATGGATAGTGCCGACCCGGTGTGACTTGTTGCAGCTTTTGTGTTGGCTTTGGAAAAGCTGAAAGACTCGACTGGATGGGACGCGCGTTTGAACAAGGTGCAATAATTAAGGTGAATTACCTCGAGGACAATCCCTTGAATCCGCAATGCACGCCCGTAGCAATCCTGGAGATGACAATGATTTCTTGGCGATGCGAAGCGGTCTCATCAAATTAGCAAAGCAAATGAGATCGGGGCCTGAGCAACCTTCAGATGCGTGCCTATGCTTGTACTCCTGTCTTGATAGCTTTTCCTGGCTGCTACGCTTAGTTTGTCATTCACTGAAATTGTTGAGGGAGTTTGCGGCGCTAGCCAATTGGCTCACGTCTCCGGGAAAATGAGCTTACGTTGTGGCCGTGTGCTCGATGCTCGTGCAGTTCTTGACAGTGTCACACCTGAGGTTCGCATCCCGAACGAGAAGATCACGCATGCCACGACTTGCGCCAAACTTGGGTCACACCCGCGAAGTCAGGTCGTGACTAGCACTTGGCGCTGAGTCGAAAGGTACCTAGCCTCATGGCTGAACTCAATATAGCGCGGGGCCAAATCCAAGCTGCGCTCGAGAATGTCAGCTCTTGCCGCAGTTGATCTGTCGGCAGATTCTTAGGCGCGCGCAAAAAGAACACATTCGCTAGAAAACGACCACGAAGGACAGTCAAGGCAATCTAAGTTCGGGCGAAAAGGTGCCTTTGCCAAGCGAAACTCTGTCCTTCTCCAGGCAATCTAAGAAGTCTGCGATGGGGCCTGGGAGGCCTGCCGCGGGGCCGACTCAAAAAGAATTCAGCTTGGGGCCACACAGGCAAGCTTCCCAATCCAGCTTTGCCGCTTGGAAGCCTTTGTCAACGCATGAAAATAGGAATGCTCTTTTGCGACTACGATAGTTTCAGGGAACCAGTGGATAGTGCAAAGTATATCCGCCGACCCCCTCGTCTGCAAGGGCGAGGTGCACGGGAAGGGTGGTCATTTTGTTTTTCATCATCATCATCATCATCATCATCCTACGCTTGTCTCCGCGTTGCTTTCTTTTTCTCTTTTGTGCTTACATGTGTTTTTACGTTTCGAGACCCTGTCAGGCACCCTCGGGCATGCGGCGGAGGGGGTGCTACGATATACGTGTGCCCAGAAACCTGATTGGTCCTGCGTTCATATGCTTGTCTCCTCGTAATTCTCTTTCTTGTATTTGCGCTTCAAGTGTGCTGTTAGGCCCGGGCAAAACGCGACGTTAGAACTTACCCGAGCCAAAAGCTACCGGGAGGCCAATAAGCCAAACCTCTGGGCGATCTCATGGCATATTATTTAGGTGTTCTTTTTTCTGAGCTTCTGGAACCTCTTTGGATTCCGAACGAAGAGGATGCCACTGGGACGTGCAGGGGATGCTACGATATACGTGCGCCGAAACCTTGCTGCACCTGCCATTAGTCAGCGATGGGGGCGGGGGTGCTACATCGTCTTAGCACTGCGCGTCGCCGCTAATCATGGGCCTCGCCATGATTTCCTTACTCCCCTCAGGCGCCAGAGAAATGAAGGGGAGATGAAGGGAAAGGAAGCGATATGCAAGGAAATGAAGGGAAGGGAAAGGAAGGGACAACAATAGAAGTGAAGGGAACCGACGGGAAGCAAAGGGAAACCAAGGGAAATGAAACGAAATCGAATACAAAGATATATCCAATGCAAAGTGACATGGAAGTGAAAGCAATAGAATTCAAAGGAAGCTGAAAGAGGCAAGGGACATGAAGGCGCGTCAAGCGGGCACCGAGGCCGAAGAGCCGTGATCAGAGGAGCCCGGAAACCTAGGCCAATGAGGCGCCGATCGAAGGGAACTCAGGAAGAGTTCTGAACCGAATTCTGAACCGAGGGAACTTAACGGATGGAAATCCGCCAGATGTGGACATAAGACATGCTCCTTACTTCACCTACCCCTTCCCCAGGAGCACAGGTTCGCGGGGGAGCGGGGGTGGCAGGGAAGATTGAGGCCTACGCGCCGCCGCGCGTGCTTTTTCAAGTGTTTTTCCCTTTCCCTGCACTCATTTGTCCAACTCTTATTTGTTCCAACTATAGATTCTTGCCTAGAGGGATGTATGCCTTTGCGGGAATGCCAGATTCATTGTTCTGCTTAGGTTTAACAACCTAAGCATTCCCAAAGCAATGGGAGAGATTCCCCGTTCAATATTCCCCGTTCGAAGTACTCTGTCTAATTGTTCCCAGTATTCCCAAAGAAATGTGTCTGCTTTTCGTGAATTTCATGTGTTTCCAAACAATTCAAACTACACTAGCTGCTCAAATTGAACTAATGAATTAGATATGTATACTAATTTGCGGTTTCGAAGTTGTCTGAATAATTATCAACGGGATGGGCGTCTTTTGGGTGATTCCACCCAATTCAGTCAAACAAATCTAACTGTTCTCATTGTTCAAAGGGATGTGCGCCCTTTTGGGATTTCCAGATTCCTTGTTGCTTCCACTGTTATTTGGGGCGGGTGCCTGTTGGGAAACTCCAGAAGAATTGTTCAAGACATTCAAGCTACTGACTATTGCTGTTTTTTCAACTTATTGAAACAGTTAAAATGAGTTAGCACAAATCCATGGAACATATCTCGTCTTCCTATTGTTCTAGTTCATTGGAAAGCTAGAAGAAAAGAACAATTAGTTTTCAAATCATAGTCCGAATTGGTCCCAATTATTCTACTTGCTCTAGTTAATCCCTGCCTTTTGGGGAGTTCCAGGTTCAGTTTGCCAGTGTTCTGATTGTAGAACAGCGTGCATTTTAATACGTCTGAAAGGCATGGGAGCCTTTTGGAGAACTCCAGCTTCATGTTTTTTCTCTAACTTTCCGCGTGTCCTGTCTTTTTTTTTTCAAGGAGACTGAAACAGACTGCCAGAGCTATGCCAATCATGCAAAAAACAGGGTGCCTCTTGGGAAGGTCCAAGCCCCCTATTCTAATACTTCTTCATACTCAGAATATATCGTGTTTTTCTTCTCTCGAAAAGGACGGGACTTGCCGCAAAGGTAGGCTTGGGTTGTCGTTCCAAAACAGGGTGGAGCAGGAACGCACCCTCACCAGAAGCATTCTCAAGCACTGTCAGTTCGAGCGTGATCGGATCGGTGTCCTTAGCAAACGCAATCTCCTTGGTTTGAAACTGGCCGGTTAATCGGTAGCCGACTTAGAGGCTTTTTCGCGAGAAGTATTTTTACATCATTCGTGCAATACCTGGAAACTTGCCATCCAGCCTGCTGATCACGTCCAGCGGAACAAACTCCCAAGGGCTCGAAATCTAAAAACTGTAGTGGCTGAACATCTTTAAATCTTAGTGTCTCCACTTGTTGAAATATTGAAGGTTGTACATACGGAAATATTAATGGATAAACAACTGACAAATCTAATGGAGAAAATGCAAAAAATGCACTTGTTAGCAAGCCGATTTTGCGCTTAAGTAAGCCTTTCCCAAGGGAAAATGTCCAAAGGGACAATTCCACAGGGAAAGCTCACTTCCAATAGCGGAACTCCAAAGGGAAACAATCCAGCGGGGAAAATGGTTTCTGGGAGAATTCAAAAAACATCTTACGGGAAATGAAAAGGGGAATATTCTAAACGGACAATTCCACCGGGACCACTCCAAAGGAAAACTTTTAATGGGATAATTCCAAAGGGCCAAAACGACACGACTAAGAAAGCAGGCCTGTGATTTCGGCGGCCTGAGCCGGAGGCGTTGAAGTGAAGTGAAATGAAGGGAATCAAACAGAAACAAAGGGAAGTGAAGGGACGTAAAGTGGAGGGAAGTAAGGGGAAATCAAAGGAAATGATTGGAAACGAAGAGACGTGAAGGGAACTGAGTGGAAATGCAGGGAAATGGAGGGAATTGAATGGAAAAGAAAGGAAATGAAGGGAAATGAAAGGGGAACCAAAGGGAAATTCAGGGAAAGGACGGCGAATGAAGGGAAATGAATGGAAATGGCAAGAAATGACAATGAAGAGGAGAAAAATGAAGGAAAGGACAGGGCGCCTGGTGGCCGGCTGCTTCGCGCCGTCGTCTAAATTATGCAGGTTGTAGCGCGACGCGAAGATGCCAAAAGGAGATCTGATACTCAGCAGCCGACCAACAGCGAGTGATAGTTTCCATGGGAAATTGGCCGCTAACGCGATGGGGCCCTATCGCACTATTTCTCTTTGCTGATCCGGCTGCAACTGCAAAATGCATTGGTACTTCAAGATCCGAATCATGCACACAAAACCACATATTGATGCGCGTGTCATAACAATAAACCGGCAAACGGCCAACAAGCAAAGAGACCCACAAAGGCGAACAAATCCCACCACAATTACCGCCACACTACACACCACTAAAAACATTGCACACCACACACCACTATACCGGCACCAAGCTTGCTCCCTCGCCTGCGCTGGTGTGCATTGACATGGGCACCCAGGGCTCATCTTTCTCCAGTTGCTCCACTGCCCGCAGTTGATGCTCCACCTTGCAACAGCTCCGACACCGGGCAGGAACTTAGGAACTTGGAACGGAACATCAACAAACGTAAGCAACAAAAAACACGACTCAGGAGACAGGCCCAAGGTCTGACAGAGCCGCCGCTGGCCGCAGCACCTTCGCCAATCGCGGTCCGCTGAAGACTTCCGAGCACGCGGCACCTCCAAGGCTCCCAATCAAAGCTCTCACAGGCGACAGGTGCCTTGAAACAGCCAGCCTGGTCGCCACCGTTTCCATGCAAGAACCGACCCCATGTTTGATAGCACTCTGTCTTGGCTACTTTGGGCTTGCTGCAAGATTGTTCGACCAAAGCGTATGTTACCTTGGCTCACAGCCATGATTCTCTTATGCAGCAATGCGAAAATCCGACTTGACTCCTCGAGCAAGAAGCAATGGGGCAGCTATCTAAAACCAGACATTGGCCACTGCGCTGCATGCAGGGTACTTAGGGATGCAATGGCACACGGGCCGTTTAAGGAACAATGCAAACAAGGATTGACCTCCAAACAACTGCACTTGTCCCAGTCAGCATCTTCTCAGCCTTTCAAATACCTGCCACTGTGCCCCCTGTCTGGTCGCTTGCCAAACACTCTGGAGGGTCATCTCCTGTTTTGACACATACAGCCTTGGCAAAATACAAGTCTGAACCATCAACTCTTGAGGCGGCTTCTGTTCATCACAGGGGCTGTCGGTTGGTTTTTCAAGCAAGGTTGCACTCCTTGCAAAAAGCCAACTGAATAACTCCAATTTTTCAGAATAGTTGCAAACCAAGTCTCTGGCACAGTCGAGAAACCAAGTAATGGGGGTAAGTTGGGGGAGCGGGGAAGAGAGCGCTCAAAACCACACATTTACTGTTGAGCTGTCTGCACTCCGAGTGGCACGGGAATTCCACAAGTCTGCCAGTTCTGGCTCGTCCCAGCGAAACGCTCGATGCGCTAGCTTCACACTTCTGTCCTTCGGTCCTTCGGTCCTTCGGTCCTTCGGTGCCTGGCCTAGCAGAAGCGTCTCTTCCACTTCTCCGCTGGCAGACATGCGCCGCAGCTTCGCCCCGCGGCGGTCCACCACCAAGCCCGGCCCCCCGGTCGAGGCGACCTTGAAGGATGCATTGAGGCCGAGTCAAAAACCGAAGTCTTCGGAAGGCTAAGTAACGGGGAAAGGACAAGTTGAGCTGCGCGTTCTTTTCCCCCGGTTTTGTTCCCAGGAAGAGGCTCTGAACTTGCAGAAGTTCAAGGAAGTTACTTAAGAAACCTTGGCGTGGAACCCCGTTTTATCAATGGCGCCTGAGGGTTAAGCCAGCCTCTCGTTGCCAGCTCCCCCTCAGACATCAGCCAGGGAAGTCTGTGGCAATCGGAGATCCTTCTGACACAAACACTAGATATCCATTTAGGGACCAATGGCCTTCACAGGAGCTTGAAAACAGCGAAGCGTTGGGACCAGCGTTGGGTGAAGATTGGTCGCAAAAACCGAAAAACCGCGCGGCTGGGCGCCGCCCGGCGAGGCGCCCCAGCGTCCGCTGCACGCGACTTGACTCCATGGCAAGCGCTGAGGCGTTTTGGTCCAAGTATCTGCCAAGTACCCAAATCACATGTCTGGATACAACAACACGTCCAGACCTTGGTTGGTACTCCTTGAGTGAGACTCAATCCTGGAAGGACTCAAACATATTTTGTAATTTTCGTCACAATCACCATCAGCAAAACATAGCAAAAAATCTATCAAGCAAATCAGGCACTGCGTATACATACATATATATATATGTATATGTATAAAGAGTGAGCATACTTCAATTTCATCCACTCCGCAGCACAAAGGTTCAAATGGGAAAGGGTAAATGTGGCGAAGCGTCTCAGACAAGTGCTCACCACGCCAAAACCGCGGTGATCCTTTCCGTCTCCTCCTCTGCGGTTTCAAGCCAAGTTTATATACCCATCAGATCCAGAGGGACGCTTCAAGAGTTTCTTTTTTTAATTTTTGATTGTGGGCGGCTATGAAGTTTCCTTTTCTCCGAGTTTTTGACCTTCTAGAGAACAATGGTGTGCATGTGTATCACCTAGTACTTGTTTTTGGTGCGGAGGATGCTTTGACATCGATACAGCAAATTCTACCGGCTGACTCCAAGAACTCGTCCAGGCACCATTCTTCAAAAAGCTTAAAAGCGCATTGAGCAACAACACTTGGATCAGGAATTAAGCTTGTCAGTCATGCCTGAACTTTTTAGCCATGGCATGTCAAATGGATTGCGCTTGCTTGCCTTTTCAAGTGTTGACTGGCAGCAGTTATATTATGGGTCGGAGTAGCAGGTAAATACAGCTACAAAGGCAATACAAATCTATATATCTAAATACACATGACATATCTTGCTACAATATTTAGTTTGAGCATCAACCGTTACTCGCCAGTTCTGCGCCGCCTAGGTCGGACAGCATGGCATGAAAGAGCAGCATGGTTTGAGCAAAACTGAGTTGACGACTCAATCGAGGTCGCTTGCTTGGCGGCTCGTCCTCTGAACACAGTGTAGCGTTCGATTTGGGGCAATGACACGCTGAGCTGTCCTGGTAGAGCTGTGTGGCCGGCAAGGCGTTGATATCCTGTCTTGCTGCAAACATCGCGGAGCTTTTGGTGAGCACGCGCAGTTTCTAATGCTTTCCTGCAGCATGATCTGTGGCTGGATGTTTCATGCTTTGGTACTTGCTGTTTCTGCGTAATTCTCTCCATATTCCCTGCCAACCCAGCTTTAACGGAATTTGCCGTGTGGGCCTAAGGCCAACCTTTGCTGACCTGGATCTGTTTGCAAAACTAGAGCGTGGCCCACTCGCGGAAAATGAGGCAAAGATGCAAATCAACCTGGATGCCGCGTCACGATGGCGCCTGTGAGGCATAGGGCCTGAATCCATGCCCGGGACAGGCTGTCACTGCAAAACTCAGCGTTGGACTGCGTGGCACTGTCATTTGCCAGGGTGTCTGCCTGCCAAACAAGCGACTTGCTTTCCTTTGTGTCTAAGTCCTTTGCTACGTGAATGTGACACACGTTGCTTCAACCGGCCTTGCCAGTGGCTTGTGCATCTTGGCTCCGTGCTTGGCCCTCCTCGTCTGTCTCCTCAGCTCATCTCAGCATTTGTCGTGTTCGTGTGGAGGAAAAGTCGAAGCCATCTGCCGAGCAGCGTGGGGGGAGCCAAAGATCTCCTCCTCGCTGAACACCGCCGAATCGAAGACAGCTGAGCCAAAGAGCGCCTAGGACATGGAGACGTAGTGCAGTTGACCAGCCTGTCACACTGTCCTCTTCGTCCGAATCATTGTGCACCTTGGAACTCATGGCATGATCTGCCGAGTCCAAAAGCGACTGTGAGCGCCGCCATTCTTGAAGATCCCTGGAAACGAGCAGGCGAAATGAAACACTGCTTCTGCGACTGAGCTCTTAACTTCTGGAGGTTCTGCGGAATGTCTTTTTACCTTGGCTCAATGAGCTCAATCAAACCAAGACGAGTCTTGTCAAGCTCATGGCAGGCAACGCACCTTCTGGCTCCTGCAAATATGCAAATACAAGACTTCACAGGTCCCATGGCGCATTTCACGAGCCTTGCCGAGTCCCATCTGGGCTGCGGCGTGCATCGCGCGCTGCCTTGCCTTGCGCTGCTCATCCAACATCTCTCTCCGTGTCTCTCCATCTTTCTCTCTCTGCCTTCTCCTTTCTTTTTTTTCTCTGTCTCTCTCTCCCCCATGAAAATCAAGCTGTTGTTTACTACAGGTTATGTTGTTTAACAAAAACGGTCAAACCTGTAGCCTGCGCAGCTCCTGTTTTGCATGGCTTATGTAGCGATAAAGCTCAAGCCTGTCAACAAGCTTTGTAGTACCGCGCCGCATGTGCATTGCCCCTGAGTTGTAATGGTCTTGTAGTGTCTTACAACTGTAGCAAGGGAGATTGACAGTAATGATGAAAGCATTGCTGTTCATCAATGCTACCGTAGTGACACCTAGCCGACCTACTGTTCAGGCTCAGTGGTCAAACTGAGTGGTGAAGTTGGTGTAGCGCAAAACGGTGTAGTTCCTGAAGAACTTCATGCAGCGCTCGCGACTTCTGTCCTCTAGTGTCTGGCGGCCGTGAGTGTTGGTCAAAAGGTTAGCGTTCTGTAGTTTTGCTGACGTTGTTTTGTAGGGTGGAGGTGTAGTGGTTGTTGGGTGTCGATGACACATGGTAGTCCCAAGTGTAGCCGTTGGGCAGGGAGAAGTGTAGTGTGAACCGTTGAAGTTGAGGTGGCGTGTGCGCCTTGGTAGTAGTTGAATCGAAGCTTGTAGTTCCTCGTGATAGATGTAGAACGGTTGGGGGTTGTCCCTGAGTGGTTGTTGGATGTAGTCCGTGTGTAGCGCTGCTGTGACAAGCACGTAGTCGTTGATGTGGTTTGTATTTGTGTGGCGTTAAGTTGGCTCATTTAGTTTGCCTGGAAGAGAGTGAAGCTGAAGTGGCTGTAGTGTAGAACAGGTTGAGGGTAGTGGCATCACCCCGTCCTAGGTGGTAGACAATGCTTTAAGGACATTGTCACGCTGTGGTTGCTTTCAACCTGTGTTTTGCCGACGCGTATTTGCCCAAGAAGCGTTCTGCGTTGACTGTTGCTCCTGTCGGACGCAGTGTGTCTTACAGTCGTTGAGCCAACTTTGGACGCTGTTGCCTTGAGTAGTGCGTTCGTGCACACTCAAAGACGCGCAGTTGTGTAGTAACATCAACTGCTGTTAAGACTGGTGTGGTCTTCGGATCCTGTTGTGATTTGATGTAGGCAAACTCTACTTGAAGGATGGGTTGTCGTTGTTGTTGCTTCTTGTAGTTGTCCTGACGTGCTTTGCCATGACGCAAATTCGACACCAGTTTCTGTACGATAGGTGAATCAGGCTGGGTTCTGCTATTTGTTGCGGGGTTGGTTGTTGTGGTTGGCGTTGACCTTTTGCTCGGTGTGCTTCGTGGTGTTCTTGTTGTTGTTCTTCGTCGTAGTTCTTGGCGAACCTTGTTGCGCCTTTCCATTGTAATGGTAGCGCTGCGTTGCTGATGACTGTCCAGTCATCTTTGCGTTGTGGAACTTCGCCGAAGCTGTTGCTGGTGGTTGTAGTTCAGTCTTGGTTGTCTTCTTGCGCTGTTGGTGGTCTATGTACGGTTGCTTTTGGTTGTGTGCTGTCTAGGTCTGTGGACGGTGCTGCTTTGGGTCTCCATACGTTTTGTGGAGTTCGCAGTTGTAGCGTTGACTTTGTTGATGGTGTCTCCATTGCACGTTGTGGTTGCGAGCTTTGTCTTGTTGGTGTAGTCTTTGTTGTCACCCGATGTGTAGGTGTGACTTTGCTTCTGAATCTGGTTTCTCCAGTCCAACCGTCCAACCATCACCTTCTCTCTGTAGTTCTTGTTTGGGAAGTTGTTTGGTGTTCTCTTATAGTTGTTCTTGCTCTTTCGCTTGCCTGTTGATGCTGGCCAGTCGCCAATCCTCTAGTTGTTCTTGCGGGCAGCCGCTGTTGTGTGAGGTGAAGAGTGCTTTGCGTGGTCGCTCGTGGACTCTGCTGGCGCGTCGTAGTCAGTTTTTCCACCAAGGATTCGGCTTAGTCCTTGGTCTCTGCGTGTTAGTGGCGCAATTTGCTCTTGTTGTTGTCGCTTTGTTTCTCTGTAGGTTGAATCACAGCAATGGCTTTTTGTATTGTTTGTAGTCGTTGGGTAGATGTCGTGTCCTGTGTAAAACGTTGGCTTCTGAGTTTCTTATTAGGCGCGCTTGTTGCTGTCCGTGTGTGATGGCGCAGTGTCGGTCATTGAAGTCGAGTTCATATCCTCTATCAAGTAGTCTTAACGCGCTGAGGATAGGATACTTCACATCACAACGTAGCAGGGCATCATGACCCTGAAGTGAACATACTTGACGCCGTAGACAGCGCTCTTCTCAGTGGCGTTCCGGGGTTTGGAGTGGCTCGTTAACTGTGGCACTTGTGAAAAAGTCTCTAAGGGAAAGTCCGAAAGTGTGGACTTTGAAAACTTGGCTCGGCCCCCTAACACGACAGCGCCTTGCTTTGTCACCTCGCACCAAGCTTCAACGTCCAAGCAAGACGATGCAAATCCTTTGAAACAAGTTTCAACGTCTAGCGAAGACGATGCAAGTCCCCAAGCTTGCGCAAAACCTGAGTGACAGACTTATTTTCACTATCGCCAAGCCCACGAAAAAGCATACACTGGAAGAGCAGGATTGATCATGCCCCTCCGCAGTGTTCGCACAGAAGATGGCAGCCAGTGGTCCAAAAGCTCCCAAGCCCTGTCCGCCAACTGCGTCCCTGCCAAGAGAGACCCATGTCCACTAGGGCGCTTCTTCAAGCGCCGCACAAACTGCGACTTGCGCTGCGAAACATTGATCACTTTCAACCTGCGAGAACGAGAGGCGGCATTGGCGTCTTTGACAGCCGCGCCCCACGCCGGTGCACCGTCAGCGTAGACACAAGTCTTGTCTCGCAAGCGACGCAAAAGGCCGGACTGCAGCACGTCCCTCTTACTCTCTGGGGGAGGCTTCGCTCCCGGCACCACAAACCAGTCTCTGCCAGAAACACACCAACCGCAGCATAGTGAGCCAAGAAGTAGCGCGGCGCTGCTAAGCCAGGGTGCTTTTGCTTCCAAGACTCCGCAAGGCTCGTGTACTTAGCTTGGTGGTGCGACTAGGAATCCGCGCTAAGCGCGCGACGTGGCCGTCTGCTTCGCGAGAGCCTCCCAAAGACACCCGAGCGCACGCCTTCTCAGCAGCCCTGGCCTCAGAAGCCCTCAAAGCTTCGAAGACACGCCCAGCCACTTTGCGACTGCAGCCCACCACTCGTGAGACCGTGCCTGGCGAAGGTGGCGTCTTGTTTCCAGCTGCTGCATATGCCTTCACTAGCTGAAAAGCCTTGAGCGGAGTCAAAGCTCTGCCCGCCATCTTGGGAAAAAGAGTATCTCTAGCTTGCCAAGGAAATCGAACTGGCCTGCATCTTTGTCTAGTGCGAAACAGCAGCGTAAAGAAAACAGCTACTTGCGAGTCTAGAAGCTCAGCGTCAGCGCGTTGACTTTGAAGCGGCATGTGTGTTCGGAGCACTGGAGGTAGTGATGGTTGCTGCGGGCCAACTCCTTGAAATTGCCATAGCGGCACTGTGTGCCCTTAGAAGGCTTCGCGCGCAACCCAAACTGCTGAAGGCACTTCAAAGCGCCAGCTTCACTGTTCACAGTCGCCAAGGCATCCCGAGCGATCTTGTCGGCCGCCTTGCCCCTGGCATCCACAGCACGCCTTTGCCCGCTGTACTCAGCGCGCGCCTTGCGCTTGAGCTTGCCCTTTGTCTTAACTGGTCTGCGGCCAGCTTGGCGGCTGGCGCTATGGTTCGCCTTTCTGCGGCCGCTTTTCACAGCCTGTGCTGGCGAGCCCCAGGAACCTGGCAGCACCTTATGTTGCGCCCAGCTGCTCCACAAAGTCCGCGCCGCGAAGGCGTTTGCGCTGTGCGAGGCATGCCAACGTTCTCGAACTTGAAAGCAAAAGGCTGCAAGTCTCATGTCAAAGAACCTTTGCAAAGGGCTGTCCAAGGAAGGAAACCAAGAAACTTGACAAGGCGCCGAGGCTTTTCTCAAGCATTGCCGTTCGAAAGCTGGTATCTAATTCCGCCAAGCTCGCGCTTCCCGCTGAATATTTTTGGGCAAGGAATCTAAAAGGCCTGTGTAGGGAGCACCTTCCCAGCAAATACGACGGTCGTGAGGGTCTTTCCTAAAGAAGTTCGGACACCTCACCCAAGGCCGTCGCCGAGGTCCTGTTTGAACCACGACCGGAATATGAGCTCTGCAACATCTGCGACACCTGCCACACTTCGTGCGTTTCACCGTGCGTACAGATGCTGCAGGCTCACCGGCATGGTCGTGAGCGCGTTCTTCTCCTTGCAGCTGCAAGTGCCAGTGCTGCTCGTCCCGAAGTGAGGCTCTTTCTACCAAGTCCTGCTCACCGCCCTCGCTGCCAGACTCAAAATCAGACTGAGAACAAGGGTCAAGCACGTCACTCAAAAAAGCCTGACTTGTGTTCTCGGTAGCGGCAGTCACCTCCTCCGTAACTTTCACGCTAGCCAGGCGCCACCAGTTCTCAAAAACCGCCGCCCTTGCAGTCAACGACATGTGTGCGGCATTTGCAGCTGAAGAAGGCGCTGATAGCCTGATGGTGCGCATGGTGGATTCAGTCAAACCGTGTTCGCCCCGAATGCTACCATGTTGATTCGCTGGCCCCCGACCGCTACCATGTTGACATGGTGGATTCAGTCAAACCGTGTTCGCCCCCGAACGCTACCATGTTGACATGGTGGATTCAGTCAAACCGTGTTCGCTGGTCCCCAAACACTACCATGTTGACTTGGCGGATTCAGTCAATCCGTATTCACTGGTCCCCGAACACTACCATGTTGACACGGTGGATTCAGCCCAACCGTATTCACTGGTCCCCGAACGCTACCATGCTGACATGGTGGATTCAGTCAAACCGTATTCACTGGTCCCCGAACGCTACCACTCTGACATGCTGGAGTCAGTCAAAACGTATTCACTGGTCCCCGAACGCTACCATTTTGACACGGTGGATTCAGTCAAACCGTGTTCGCTGGTACCGTTTTGACATAGTGGATTTAGTCAAACCGTGTTCACTGGTCCCCGAACGCTACCATTTTGACATGGCGGATTCAATCAAATCGTATTCACTGGTCCCCGAACGCTACCATTTTGACATTGTGGATTCTACCATTTTTACACGGTGGAGTCAGTCAAACCGTATATTCTAGCGAAGTACCGGTTCGGGGTTGTCAGGTCCACGACCGAGCCAGCTGGTTTCGTTGCAAGAAACGTGCCAAAACAGCTGCGTCATAGGTCCACGCATCATGCCAACGCATGCAAATGCCATGTAGCTCGTCTTGACAAAAAGTGCTCAAAACCTGCGGATCTTTGTGTAGATGCTCCTGAGGCAATCAGCAGGTGGTGGTATGACTTGAAGTTGGAGTACATGATGTGATGAGTGGCGTCGTCACCAATTTTCCGTTGCTTCTGCTGTTGCTGCTGCTATGGCTGTTGCTGTGATCGTTCCATGATGTTGTGTGTATGCTTTCTTTCCAGATTTGGGTTTGTGCTTGCGTGGTAGTGGCTTTGCTTGTCTGATGTGTCCAAGTGTGAGGTGCGACTCGTTGATGCCTCCGCCGTAGTTTTGCTGCATCTTCATAATGGTCGTTGCAGTCCCAACTGTTGTCATAGTCGTCGTCGTTCATTTCAACTCTCCTCCACGCGTAACCTCTTCTCCTGTATTTGCCTTTACCTTTGCTTCCTTTTGCAGCTTCCTCTGCTCTTTCCTTTGCCTTTGTAGCTCATTCCTTTTCTCCAAATCTTGCCAATGCCCATTTGCAGGTCCTCCATTGTCGTTTGTGCCAACTGTCGATGTCGATCTTGAGACGGAGGAAATCGCCTTGCAGTAGTCCAGGACGACCGCTCTGATCTCGTTGTAGTTTGTGACTTGTCCAACACGTGCCTGGAGAGTGCTCCTTTGGTCTTGTGGTGGTGCAATCTTCGCTCCCTCTGGTGCTGCGCCTTTGTCTTCCTCGCCGTCTTCCCATTGTAAGAATTGTTCTTCGAACTGTGCTTGTTTGAATGTAGGTTCCAGTAGTTTGGTGAGGCACCCAACGCTTCGTGTTCCTACTGGTAGGCCGAACCTGCTGCGCACAAGTCGTAGTGTTTCACATCCATTTGCGTTGCAGCGGTTTAGTTGCATGTTGCTTGTGTAGGGTCGCATATGTGTGCTCTGATGTCTGCGTCCTCACTTTGTGTTGTAGCTACTTGTGCGAGTTGTAGCGCCATGTCGAAGTCTCAGCCTATGAGTTCGAGATTTGCTTGTAGTTTGAGGAGCCATGCTTCAAACTGTGAGTAGTCACTAGCGGAGAACTCTGGTGGCAGCTTGTGCTTGTGTAGTCTTTGGACATTGTTGTCTAGCTTCTGCGCTGTTCCTGGTCCCGTAGTTGTGGCTCCTTCACCATCCAGAATGAGTTGCCTTACTGACAAAGAGACAGCTCGGTCAGCGCGATGTCATTGAGGAACATTCAGCTTGAACATCTTCGGCTATGAGATGCTGAAAACACAGCATCGTGATGTGTCCGCAGTCAGAGAGATTTCGGGGCAAAGCTTGAATGAAAACAGGGCGGAAAAATCCTGATCACAAGGCAAAAAGGGAATCGCCGACTCGCCTCGGATCCCAACGATCAGGCACATTGGGGTAGGAATAGCGGCAAAAGCGGGGCTAAGAAAGGGAAACACGAACCCCAACAGCCGTTCGAGAACAGCGAGCGCACACATGAAGAGTAAAGCAAAGGGAAAGGGCAAGTCATGATGCAGCTACCGACAAGAAGTTGACGCAAGATGGTAGCGAAGAACCGCTCAGTGCCAGAGCCTGCTAGCCACCAAGCTTACGCCACACAACCCAACTGCGCAGTCCAACAAACGCGAACTGTCCGTCAAACCCGCCAAAGACCTCATCTCCTACAATAACATTCCGGCAGACACCAAGTTGACATCGCCAGCGGAGAATCAGACATCAACATTTCGCAGCTCAGACTTTCAGAGCCGCTGCAAGTGGGTGAACGCGACGAAAGAAGCAGCGAGCGACGCGCGCAGCCAGTCCCCGCGTCGTGAGCGGGCACAACTACCAAGTTTTGCACCACAACAAGGCGGGTTGTGAAATTTGTCCGTTGATGCGAGGGTTGAGTTTATTTTCTGCAGCACACGAAGGAGCGCTTCGTTTTCGAGGCGCGTCAGCTCAGGCCGGGAGGAGCGGCGCTTTCGACAGTCGTTAGCGCGTTCTGCCGGGATCTTTGTCTCGTCTTGTTCTTGACGACTTGTGGCGTGAGGCGCTCGCAGGTCTGCCTTCAGGCTCCAGGGCAGCTGGCCGAAGCACGCTGGCTAGCACAACGTAGATGGTTTGCCCCCCAGCTTCGCCAGGGCACAAGCATCAGACCTCTTGGGGCTTGCCTCCAGAAACTTGATAAACAATCTTGCGTCTTCACAAATCACACCTTCCCGGCTTAAGAAACTGGGCTCATGCAAAAGCCAGGGCACGTGCAAAGGCCATTGGCTATTATTCAATCATCCGACAACTTGAGCCCGCCATGCGGGAACAAGACATAACGGGCATGTCACTTGTCATTCTGTGAACATGTATGTAGCCCAGACATGGGCGATGCCGTGCAAGCCAGATAAGACATCTAGATTCTTGTACTTCGGTGCATCTGGATGCGCACTCTGACAGTCCGGACACTTTAAAACTTTATGAGAAACCAACACCTTCCGATGGAACTCCCTTGGAATTCAAAGCCCGGGCTCGCGCTTCCGCGGGGGCTTCCAGCTTCTCGGGTTCGGCCGGAAGGTCCGGGACATCGGGCACCCCGGGCACCTCGCGCTCCTGGGACTCGAACAAAGACTCCAAAGAGAGAGAAAAGGATGGGAAAGGGGGGACGGGACTGGACCAATTTCAGTTGTGAGCGGAGTGAGGGCTTCACAAAGAAATCGCAGCTGGAAAGGGGCCAGCCTGAGACTCGCCCAGATTGATTTTCACCTTGATTCCAACGGGGAGAGGGAAATCGAAGGACAAAGGAAGCGCAAGATCCTCGCGGCGTACACGCTCCAGCGCCTGGGCCACGTCTCCCGCTTTCCGTCTCGCGCTTCGGCGCTTCGGCGCCTGGAGTCTCTCGTGCGAGCAAATGGGCTCGGTGTCTTTGTCTTCCCCCGGATCTCGAGCAACGACTTTGTACCTCAGGGAAACGTTGCCGCGTTGCCTCTGGCCTGCTTGCGCGTGCTGAGCTCTGTTCCATCCAGTGCCATCGTCTTTGTGTGGTGGGTCAGGCCTCAAGCCGTTGGCACTTTGCACACCACCTGCCAAATCTTCAGCTTCCGGCACACCTTCTGGGCGGGCAAACGCAAGAAGCACTAACCTGAGTCTATAGGAGTCCCATTCACTCCGGAAGTGACCCCTTCAGACTGTCAGCCACGTTGACATGGCAGAGCAAATTAGGATCTGATAAGCCTTTGAATCGATCACAGAACAGGCTTCCCTTGTGGAACGACTTCTAGCTCCTGTGCCCAAGCAAAACCCGTTACTCACACAAGTTTGCATATCCGGATTTAGGTCCCAGCAATTGCTGCTTGCATGGCTCCAAATCCTGATCCTTGCAAGCTGAACAACTGACTGCAAATGCAAAGAGTCAGAGAATAACAGTGCCTGGAAGTATCCAAGTCGTTCCCAGGTGAGGATTCTGAGGCAGACTTGCCAGTCACACACACACACACACACTCTGTGGGTGCGATGCCGCATTGAGCATTGGGGCTGCAGCAGGTTTGCTAGAAATTGGCTTCCACGTACTCTTCCAATTTGCCACCTCGAATAGTCCCGGCCGTGCGATCAAGCGGCTCCCGGACTTCCGGACTCTTCCGGACTTCCGGACTTCAGCCTGCTGAGAAGGATGTCGTGCAGGTGCGGGCCCAGAGCTTTCTCAAGCACGGAGAGCTGATCACGTCGTGCCAGGTAGACTGCGCGGTCGATGATGCAGGCCAAGGCCTCAGACGAACTTGGGGAACACTCGGCACAGAAATCCGAGAAAAGAAAACCGTTTCAGCCCGAAAGGGAAACTCGCGGCACGACTGGAGGCCGAGGCCAGAGTCATGTTTGCTGGATACCATCCCTTCGGCACCTTGTCCTTCTTCCTCAGAATCTTTCCGATCAGGAACGATGTAACACGATGTATGTATATCGGGCATTGATCCGGCATTGATCCGGCATTGTCCGGCATTCGGACCAATTTTGCCGCGCTTCGAGGCCCATGCCTCAAGACGGCGCTGGAGACCGTCTGAAAGACCTTGATGACCTCTGCCGGTGTGGCCTGGGGTTGGAACTTCCACAAGCAACTCAAGCAACTCAGGCAACTCACACTTACGAGCGGTTCGGCACGATTCCGCCTTCAAGGCAAAGTGCGCCGCAGACCAAATGGCGTCCATGGCCTTGTCACATTCGAACAAAGCCTGAAACAAGCGTGCGTTGAGTGCGCCTTTTGCGGAGCGATCTCTGATCGTTGCATCTCTGCCGTGACGAGCTGCTTAATCAGAGCTGGCAGCAAGGCGAAAAAGCATTGGCCAAATTTGCCCTTCCCGAAACCCACTCATGGCAAAACGTGCCAGTGCTTCAAGTCAGAGCCTCCTTTCGCTGCGTGTCCTTGAGTGTGACCTGAGGAGAGAAAATGCGACCACGTGCCAAGGAATCTCCATGGACGGATCTTCTGGCCAAGTCTTCGAAAGTCGAGCGCCTCAAGTCCTTCCCGAGCACAATGAAATATTCGGTTGAATTCTTCACAAACGCGAACTTACCGTGTTGCAAGCCAAACATCACCAATACCATGTGGTTCAGAACCGAGAGCGTTGAGACGCATGTGAATGTTTTGAGTCGTGATCCTGTATCCTTTGCCGTCTCACTTTTCTCGTCTTTCACTCGCGCTCGTTCCGATTCGGCATTCGCGGCCAAGACGCGATGTCGTCCTCCACGGAGAAAAGCTCTGGGTGGGCTGCCACAGCCTCCCGCAGCTGCTCCATGTCCTCGGCTTTCAAGCTTATGTCCTCCGACTTTTCCACATGTCCACAAAAGTCCACAAAAACCCACCGGGGTCCACCGGGGTCCACCGAGGTCCCGGCGCACGGACGCAGCCCCACACGCAAATGCCTCGCATCCGAAATGTCGTGTCGAAAATGCGAGGGGAGCCTTCACTGAGATATTCTCGCAACCCTCTCACTCTCTCTCCATCTCTCTCCTCACTTTGTGAATTCATTTCCAATACGGAATGCAAGGAGGGAATCAAGAATCTTTGGAGAGCAAGGATCTGGGGCCGCTACCTGAAGCTGGCGGAATCTTTCTCGCAGGGAGCAAAGCAAAATCTGTTGAAAAACACACTGCGTCTCCTCCAAGCTTCTGATGAAGTCCGCAATCTCCTGCGCTGAGCGTTCAACCTGAGCAGGAACTCCGGAACTCTGGGAAATCGTGAGCTAGGGCTCCTGCAGGCCGGGACTCATGCCGCCTGCGTACCTCGAAGGGTTCAGCGTGCCTGCTCGCCCCTGGCACCTGTGACGTATGCGACGTATGCCGCGGTTTTCCCATGCAAACTCAATTGGCTTCACGAGGCTGTGAGAGCCTGCGATTGTGAGCCTGAAGACCGATGGCTCGGACAAAAGGGAAAACCAGCGACTGGCGCTGCGCCAAGACGCATGGCAACTCCAAAAGTACGAAACCGCCAGCATGGCAAGCCCGACATGTGAAGTAGATTGCAGCGTGCTGACACTTGGAAAGCTCCCTTCGGAAAGCTCTTTGGAGTTGCGCCACCCAAAGCACTTCGGCTCACTGGGTCAAGGCCTTGCAAAACATAGTGCATGAAAGGCTATTCTCGGTTCAAGAATACCGTGGACAAGTTGGTCAGTGGTGGATGGGTTTGACTTTTGCAGTATGGCCGCATGGGCAAAGCAATCTTTGCCCGTACAAAGAATTTCCTAGCTGACTACTAGATCTGGCTAGCATGCTGCGCAAGCAGTCTCACGCAGTCACGGAGTGGAACGGAGTGCTATGTTCGGCATTAGTGACTGGTGCCTCATTGCACTGCTCAGCCAGACCAAAGGCACTGGAAAGATGGGAAGGAGCACAAGGCGTCAGACCTCATTTCACCTGTCGATTCGGTTGCTTCGATTCGGTCGCATCAATCGGCTCCGCGTGACATTGAGCCAGCGCATCTGATTGTGTGCCTGACGACGCACGTCGACGAGGGGCAGCGGCTTTAAGCTCCTGGCAATCATTCTTGTTCAGCTGTGAAAGCAGAGGTGTCACTCATTCACTCGCGCAGTCTCTCTCTCTCCCTCTCTCTGTTGTCACCATGGTGTCCTTCTGTCGCTCCAGCGGCGGAGGAAGGGCAGAACTCCACAGGGAGACCCGCCAAATATAGATTTTCCTGCAAGCTGCGAATGATTGTGCCGCATGCTGCTGAATGATCATGTCGGATGATGATAATGAACATGATGATGGTGGCGATGTTGGCGATGGGGATGGTGAAGGGGACGATGACGATGACGATGACGACGACGATGATGATGATGCGGATGGCGATGGAGATGGTGATGATGGTGATGATGATGACGATGCTGGCGATGGCAATGGCAAAGGAGATGGGGATGACGGCGATGGCAATGGTGATGATGCTGGATGATGATGATGGCGATGGAGATGTGGACGGTGATCGGGATGTTGATGACTATGAAGATGCTGCCGAATGATGCCAGGCATTTGCACTGAGTACACGGCGCGCCTGCTGTCTTCTCGCGCAGCTCAGGCCGTGGCCGGGAGTCTAAATGACGAGCATCTCGATAGTTCTGCACCTCACAATTACTCACAATGCCGACAAAAACACATTGGTGGGCGACCTCCAGGGGTAGGAGGTGCAACTGACTTAAGCACAAGGGAATTGAAGGACAAGTCACATGGCACAGCTCTCTCACAGGCACGTCTATTGCCCGTCGCTTTCCACGGAAGGACGGAAGGGCGCAACTGGGGGCACTGAGCCTTGTGTGTAGCTGTTTCGGTCTTCACTCCAAAATCCGCAGACATTTTTCGGCGTGTCGGATACGAAGAAAGATCCCGCCTCTGTGGGGCCGGGGGGGGGAGGTTGGTGGTGGCGGGCGGCAGCCACGCTTGGCACAAGAATTTGATGACGTTCCGCTAAAAGTCTTGGGAGGAGCCGCCGTGGAAAAACGGGGGTCGCCTTCTGGAATCCCACCGCCTGCCAGGGGAATTGAATGGACAATCAAGAGGAAATGAAGAGGAAATAGAGGGAAGCGAAGGGACATGGGCGAAAAAAAAGAAATTGAAGGGGACATATAGAGAACATAAAGGGCAATGGAGAGGGGGAATCAAAGGAAAACGGAGAAGTGAACGAATGTGACACGCACAACATTTTATAAACATCAAGAGGTCAAGAAGTGGAAATGACAGGGTAACGAAGGGGGGATGAAGGAGAAGTGTGTGGGGAAACCTGACGAAGAATGAAGAGGACATGAAGAGGAAACGCAAGGACGTGCTGAATGAAATGAACGGGGAATTGAAAGGGACATGTGGGCAACCTGATCCAAGTGGAGAGAGGAGAGAACTGAAGTGGGCAAAGTCGAAACGAAGGAACAATGACTGGGGCATCATTGTTTTTGCGCCGGACAGAGGTTAACCCTCCCTAATCCCTGCCGGGACATGTCTGTACTCATTGTGGTAGCAGTCTCTAATGACGCTGTTTCTCAAGAATCTGGCCATCAGGTCATATGCGCCGTAGCCATGGAGAAACACACTCTAATCTCACAACAAGCAGGGCTATAGCAGGAACTGGCACGAAGGATGCTCATCAGAGAGTAGTTACTCCTACCAGCACCCTTGGCCTGAAGACCAGCAAGTATGATCAGCTTCCTCAAGCAATGAACATTATCCAATTTGCAACAACCAGTGGTGCAACGATATAGCCGACCAATCGGCATTTTCGCGAGACTTTATCTTGACCTCACCATCTACAAGACTATTTAAATCGATGATATCGTCTGCGAGGGTATCTTTTCCTGGGTGAGCGAGTTGATAGTTTCACAGAGAGACACATCAGTCCTTTTCTGTTGAAGTCAACGCATCTTCAAGTCTTAACAGATGCAGAGTTGGATGTCAGATATCAGACAATCCGCCATGCCCAAGTCCAGTCATTCATTCGCCGCTTGTTGGCTTTCTTGTTCGCTTGCTTGCTTGGAAAATTTACACCATGAGAGGAACATGCCAGTCGCTGGCGTCTAGCGTTCCCTGCGTTCATGAGAATCTCATTCGTGATGCGCTCGAGCCGTTCGGCGGAGGAAACTTGATAGTCACTGATGGTCACGCCGTCGAAGATTCGTAGTTGCAGTGGCTCTTGGACTTCTTGACCTGTTGGTTGGAGAAGCGAGCCCAGGATCTTGGTATGCGCCTTGATTTTCTGCAGGTCGGACCAGTTGTTGATCTTCTTGAGCCCTAGCGGGAGCTTTGTTGGGCAGCCTGATCTTGGCTGTTGTCGTCGAAACTCACCCGAATCTGCCGCCGTGTAGCCCTTTCTGGGATTGATGTTGGGGAACCAATCTCGCAGACAGACTGTGAGGCGGCCCTTCAGCGATGATGGTTTCTCATTGAAGTCTTCCTCATCTGCCTCCTTGTCACCATGCTCACCAGGAAGTGTCTGGACTTCAAATCTTCGGACAGTGTCGTCGGTTTGATCTTTGTCTTGACTGACCTGAGGGTCTTTGCCGCGGATGATGTCGAAGGCCTGGTCATCATCCATATCAAGTCTCTGACGTTGACCGCTTATTCAGAGTGTGTAGGTTGCTTGGAGAACGCCCTGTTGACCTGATGAACATGCCATGATCAAGCTGCTGGGAGGAATGGTTGTGTCAGTGATGGCTGTCCTTTCTTCGGCAATCTTGATGTTGTAGCTGTTGTAGCGCTTGCCCGGGTGATGGCCATGACGATGATCCTTCCGTTCGGGGTGTGCTGAAAAGCTGCGGAGGTTGAGGGCCATGAAGTCACCAACACGTGCCAAACGGATGCGTTGGCAGCGTGCGAAAGAAGCTCCAACCCTGGCTGCAGCCCGTTGGGGAGAAGTTTTGCGCAGCTCATTATCGCTGGTGGCATGGACCATGGACGACACATTCTTGAATGGATTGACGGTGCACTTATCTTCAATGCTTGCCGGTTGTTGGAGCTTGGTTACTGACTGAGGAGTCTCAGAACCTTTCTGGTGGCGTGATAAGACGTGCAAAATGCACCTGACGTACACCTCCATGTCACAATGGAACTCGTACGTGCGACGGTCTGGTTTGAGCGCTGCGCATGAGTGGCACGGCGCTGGTCCATCTTGCCGTCTTGCCGTCGCCCGCTCATATCTGGACTTGTCGAAGCGAGGGAACAATGTCATGAACTAGATTCCGCTTGTTGCCTAGGCAAATCAATGAGTGGTTGGTCAGCCTATCGGCGGACGCGTCCTAATTGACTTGTGCGTTTGGTCGACTCGCTCCCCTCAACTGATTGTTGAGGGGATGTCGAGGTGGTTGCGCATGCGTTCAACAACGCGACTTGACTTCCTCGTTTCGATCTGACAGTTGTGAGTTTCCATTGACAAGATGTCGGCGCCGAAAGAAGCGGGCTGCTCATCGATGACAGCATATGCACACACGTTGGAGGTGCTGTTGGTGTGCTTGGCAATTTTCTCCAGAAACCAGATCTGATTGGGTCGCAGTTTGAGAGAGTAGAGCTTTTAGTGCTTTTGGTCGCTCATGGTGCTCCGTGATGAGCTGAAAGAACTGCTCATTGTTGAAGGGGGTTGGATGATCGGTCTCGGCCTTGAACTTCAGCAAGTGCGCCAGATCTAGTCTTTTGGGCGATGACCTTTCCTTTGTCGCTGGCTTCCTCTGCACGGCGGTCTTTTACTCTGACAAGTACCAACCGCTGGTTCGGAGTCTTCCGCCGTGCCCTTATTCTTGATCGGGCTTGGTGCTGCTCCACATCCACTTCCATCTCATCATCTGGAGGATGTGGGCCTTCATCGGATCGTTGGAGAACACATTCTTCCACCGAGAATCATCGGTTCCGGTTTTGTGTGGTTCAGGCGACGGCCTGACTTCGGAAGTGTGTTAGAGAAAAGCGGCATGTGGTAGCAAAGTTGCACAGACACGATCGTAAAAATCACGTGATTTGAGTGATGAAACACAGACTCGAGGCACGCTCACATGCTCCAGTACGCGAACATGTGTTCTGACAGCCCAACACCTGCAAAGGTGATCATGTCGGGGCCGGCGCGCAAGCCACTCCACAAGAAACGCAACATTGTATGGAAAGGTGGGTGTGCACCAACATTCAAAAGGTTCCAGCGAGAACTGCCTTGATCAACTCATTGGCTTTAGCTGAGTGGTTCGCCAAAGGGTCAGCAAGGCAATCTTCGCTTCGTACATATGCAAGGTCATGTGTCTGTCCGCTGTTGTTTCCTTCCGCACGAA